GAGTGTGTGTTTGCGTGAGAGGGAGTGACACAGACACAGAGAAAAAGCGTGTGTGAGAGTTTGTGAGAGAAACAAATATGGGGAGCGGTAGTGTAGCGGTTAACGCGCTGCGCTACCTGGCGACCCAAGTCCCGATTCCCGCTCACGGACAACACCAGTGACGATAATCTGAACCGGTCCAGGACTTGCCCTAGGGCGACTCAGCCTAAAACGAGTACCTGGTGGGCTGTAAACATCGCCACTAGGGAGACAAAGGCGGCCGGGCGTAGTGCTGGCCACCCACTCCCTCGTGTGGCGTGTCGGCCTTCATGGGTTCTCACTAACAGCACTTCTCCCATTAATCTGTTAAGGCTATACGGGGGATCTATGTTTGTTGTTGAGAGAAACATGAATAGTGGGGAGCGATGGGGTGCAATGGTTAGTCCGCAGCGCTATAAACCCAGCAACACGAGTTCGATTTCCGCTAACACCAGTGACGATTATCTGAACCGATCTTGGGCCTCCCCAAGGTCGACTCAGCCTCAAATGAGTACCTGGTGTGGTAAGCATCGCAACTGCGGAGACAAAGGCGGTTTGCCATGGTGCTGGCCATCCAACACCTTGTGAACTCTTCCGGCCTTCATAGGTGCACGCTACGAATAGATGATGCCTTACCATCAGCCCCACAAACACAAAGCACCTGCCTGGGTATTTTATTTCATAAAATGCTCCATACCTGGGTAGTGTGATTATGACTAGCTCCTGTTTTGGGAGCCCATGCCTCAATACGAATCACTCGAGCGGCAGTATATTTTCATTATCTGCATAACGCTGTGTGGAAGGAACTTGGTCTATCACTTCAAAGCTCTGGGTTTTCTCCACCACAGTTGTCACTTCTCTAAGCTTGCGAAATGTGGAGCCCTCGAATGGAATATCTGTGCCGGTTTTAAACATTCAGGCTAGCCTGCCTACAATCTATCCTGGGTTTAACCAGACGATTGTGTGAGCTCACAGATCCTTCAAAGATCTGGATGCATTCCCATCATCAGTGAGCCCCTCTGTCAAGCGAGGGCTGAGTTGTCTGGGTCATATATCCTGCATGCACATCTACGGCATGCCGAATCAGCTTCTGTTTGACTAGTTGGGTCTAAACAGGTGTGGCACAGGCTCGAAAAGAGATGGACTGATGTGGCACAAGACGATTTGGAACTGATTGGACTCGTTGATGACTTGTGCCAGCAGTGTCAAGATCGGCCCCTGCGGCGGAGGTTTTGATAGAAAGTCGTATAACTTTTTATAAGATCCCTAATCTCAAGATTTGACCAAAAGTCACCCAGGCACACACATGTTATACTTTACACATTTTAAATCTTTATTCACCAGATTACTATTAAGCATACATCGATTTCCAAATGCATTAGATAAATTACGGATTGCTGTGGCAAATAGCATGTCGCTTTGTGTGAATCAGTTTTTAAAAAGAAAGTTTAAATTTCATAAGAGCAGCTTTCAGTCTTTCACATTATGAAGGATCATTGCCATTTTCAAACCCCAACTAGTAAACCATCTTACCCAATCAAATATGCCATGATTTTTGGAATACCACAAAAACAGTTAAAATGTTTTTTTTTATATTTCCATAAAGTATTTTCTTCATTACATTTTCCCATAGTTTTCTTATGCACACTATGACAATGGTTTTGATATCAGGCCATTTACACAGAGGCAGTCTTAAGTAACTTTAATGTGACAAGCGAATTGCATCACAAACTTGTTTTTTTTGCAGCCTCCTTGTGCAAAACCACTCTTTTTTATGTAGTTATTAAACCAAAACTCACAAACTCATGGGCTGTGTTGACCAGGGAAGGTGAAGGTAAATCACCGATAACCTTGCCACGGACACACTCTTAGACAACCTCCATGAAGGACGTTCTCCCTGTGGAACGCATCATCTCGTCTGGATGCGCCGATCATTGCAGTGGTCCCCTAGAAGATCTATAGATCGCCTGAGTACCCCTACTGCTCAACAGCCATTGCAATTAATGTATGAGAGACGCGAGTTGATGGCACAGGTCAAAATATAACAAATAAATGCATCGTATATAGTTTAGACAGCAATTAATTTTGCTGTCATGTATAATCAGGTTGGGTCAAATATTTTAGACAGTCCATCAATTGTCCATTGTGTCAATGTTGACAGAATTAAGCAACATTGAAAAATATAAAGTTCTGTATTCATCTCCTGCCAATGCCAACAATCACCCTTCCACCTTGGTCCAGTGGTTTTAACATCATATGCATTTTTGCTCTGCCAGGCCCCATTACAGGTGTTGCAAAACCAAAATACCATGTAAACAACTATCAGAGTTGTCTGATTTGACCCAAAACCTTTGTTCATCTATTGACTTGCAAACCTTGTTACATTCTGGTGCAGTTAAAATATAGTATTCAGCGATATAAATGAACATTTTAACAACAATTTACAATGCGTTTATTTTTTACATATTGATTGCCTGCATCAATTATTTTGATTTACAGTTCCCATCATTAATATCCATGATCTATAGTATTATATCGGTGCAGGATGGTATAATAGACTACTGCATGTTCTGGTGAATCCAGTCCAAGAATTTGGTGACCCTGCTGTAAACACCTGGCTGGTAAGCCCGTGCACAGCCATAGCCCCAGCTGGTGATTCCAGAGAGGTACCAAAACCAGCGGCCGTTTGAGTCCTGGCAAACCAAGAGACCCCCAGAGTCTCCCTGCAACAGACACACACGACACCAATGTTAGAAGTTGACTGACGAACAAGGAGGCCTGATGGAGCGATGATTACAGTGATCCAGTATAAGCAATGGCATGTCATGATACCAAAGAGGGGATGTCAAAAGGCCCGATAATTAGGTTTAAATGTTCAAGTGCAAAGAGCAGTACAACTGAGGCCAGCTTGAAATGTTCAATGGGACTGGGATCCTGAAGGAGGACATTGTTGTTGAAGGTCGAGTTGATGTTGGCCCACCCACGCTCCTTCCAGTAAATTGGTACCAAAATGTGTTCATGAATTGATTGGAGAAGTTTGCTTTCCGAGTTCCCCCTGGTGGAACATAATTGAGCCCATAGTCGTCATGTGCTCCAGATGGTTTTTAGGCAAGAGAGTTGCATATTCTTGGTTCTTTCGGTAAAGTCACGTTGAAGGGAAACAAATAATAAAATATATAAAACAATACAATTCTCGCATATATTTTAGTTTCCCTTCAACGTGACTTCACCGAAAGAACCAAGAATATGAATCACTGCAGTCACGAAAGCTTTAAATCAAAATTGCATCTTGTTGGTTGTTATGGCAGCTCACTTGGCAGGTGTCCACCCCTCCTTCGAGGTACCCTGCACACAGCATCCTGTTGGTGATTAGAGATGGGCTATAGGCCTGCGGCCCTGGGGTGACGCACGTCTTGAAGATCTCTACTGAAGCCTCCTGAAGCTGGTCGGGTGTGCAGCCTGTTCAGGACAAGAATTCGTGTTGGAAACCGTGTTTCAGTTCCAGTTATTTATTTACTTTGGTATAGCCCTGTGAGCCATTCGGCTCTTGAATCGGGTGCAACCACAACAAACAAAAAAACAAAAACACGAACAAGAAAACATCTTAAAGTGAAGTACTATATTTCATCAAGACTTAGATTGTGGTACATTTAAATGTTAACAACATATCACCTGTATATCAGCTTAATGCCTATTACAGATATTCCTCGAGCACCAGAGAGCTCTGCTACCCGACTGCCATCATTATTCCAAAGGATTTTTACAAAAAAATGTTTCCTAACAAAAATTTGAGCCTCCATTAAATCAAAGGAATTGTTCAGTAGAAGAGATGTGTATATTATATTTGTTTTTCATTATACAAACATTCCCCCGAAATAAAATAAATGTTCAACTATCGATTATGTTTAACTTGTGCCGTCGGAAAATAACATTGCACCGATTCATACATTAAAATCACGATACATGCCTTGAATCGTGGGCATAGCAATGGATTTTTTGATATTTGTATATGTTGTACATTAGAGGTGCTACATTTAACCCAATGTAAACAACTCAAGGGTTGTAATCCTGAGTTTAAACAGAAGGGAACTGCTTTCTATGAGAAGATCGATTTTATTAGAATGTTAATCGGGTCGTGTGGAGGCTCAAAACATGACAATACTGTGGTTGCTTTGTTCTTACACCATAGACACTGAGCTATGGATACTAAATAATATCTCAAACTATGCTCTATTTAGTGGTCAAAGTATCTTCTGAAATCACGTGTTTTCCCAGGTTTGGAATATTTCACCTATGGACTTACCACCTTCAAAATTTTTCCCCAACCAGAAATGAAGCATGATTTCCCTGGGTAGGGAAACTTCTGAAAGCGAGGTGGGAGGCAAACTGGCTGTATGTAATCGATGAAGGAAACAAGTTCTGACAGCTCCATAAGAGCAATGTCATAGTCATGGCTGCTTCCGTTGTAGCGCTCGTGGATGAGGATTCTGTTGACGCTTCTGGCCACGACAGTTGAAGCGCTGAGATCGTTCTGAGAGTGCAGGCCCAGGTATACCGTCCAGGTGTTTGGGTTGTTACTAGGGGGGTAAATACACAGCCACCACAGTCAGCATAAAATAATATAGGGCATTATGTTTTTTTTTTTTACCAAGGTAAGCCTCATTGAGTCTCAGGACTTTTTCAGGAGGGTCCTGCCAAGTTCTTTCGGTAGGGGTGATGACTGCTGCTCTGTATAATCTCAACTGAGTAATTCGTGTGGGTCAGTTTTACAAGTAAGCAAATTTGGACTGTGGCGCCGGCACGCATCACGATTGCAAGTGCACTTCGAAAAATCATACCTGAATGTGAAAAAAATCTGAGATGCTTCATCCCTATTCCACTTATATTCATAACTCTTTCTGCAATAAAATTCTACAAAAATATCTTCTAATGGTGTTGTGATTCATTGTGTGAGTGGGAGCAGCGGTGGTTCATTGGTTAGCACACTGCACTTACGAACCTGTTGACCCACGTTTTAATTCCCCAAGCTTGATTCCCAACCACAGATACAGTTATTCGTGACCAGTGTGGTGAGGTATGGCCGAACAACACCCCATGACCAACACGGTGTGCGAAGGCCTTCATCCCAAAAGCGGTCTGTTAAAGGGCTGCAAGTTGTGATTATCAAATTTGTCTGCTGTGTGTGTAACATTTAACACAATGCATCCTTTTAAAGTATGACAAATAAAAATAGGATTTACCCTTTCTGGCAATAAAACAGGTGTTAAGATATTCTTGGTGCTTTCTACGTGACTTTACCGAAAGAACCAAGAATATGAATCCCTGCAGTCACGAAAGCTTTAAATTAAAATTTAAGGTGTTAAGATGTTCAAACACGTTTAGCAAGGAATCAAGTTTGTATTAACCACACGTACTTGTGGTGAACATGCAAATAAACTTGCTCTGATAATAATATATGCATTGTCTTTGGCCTACACCAGTGACAGCCTTCTTTAGCACCTAGTTTCACCAGTGACAGACCAGAGAACGTCAAAAGGCGAACAGTACAAGGACAATGCACGTATCAGAGCATTTATAGCTCAGAGTAAAGTGTTCACAATACATGTGAAGCAACAGAAACGCTCACCTCTGGAAGCAATGAGCAGCACTCACAACCCAGCGGTCACTGAAGAGGGAGCCCCCACAGGTCAGTCTGTTGAAGTTGTGCAGGCTCTCTTGCCAGGGCCATTCTCAGAGCCTTGCTTCGTAGCCTCCCACGATCCGGCTGTTCACTCTGCGTTCTGCTACGGGGATCCAGCCACATTCTGAAAAACGACAAAACACAATTACTTCTATAATACAGTTTTTTTTGGGTTAGATCGCGTAAATATAGAAAAGTCTAGTCAAACCCGCCATCATTAGTACGAGTTGTCACGTAAACAGAACATGCCGATTCATCACTAGTACAGCACACCGGTGTGTTGGAGAGACAAGCCACAACATTTACAATCTGAGTACGACGTTTTGCTAGTAAATCTTGACTTAAAGTTTTCGTGACTGCAGGAATTCAAATTCTTTGGGTCTTTAGGTAAAGTCACGTAGATGGTTATTTTCTTTGAACCATCTACGTGACTTTACCGAAAGACCCAAAGAATATGTTTTGCTAGTAATCACAACTAGCTTCATCAGGTGACAGCCAGATTTGTGGAGAAGTCCACCTGTTTCGTTCCTTATATAGAGGCGTAGATGTGATGACAACACTTGTGCACTCTTCTTGTCCAAGGTGGGGGGGGAGGATTAATGAATCAACGTACATTATGCGTGCACATTATGCGAGCCCATTGATCTGGTACTTCCTGTCCATTGCTTGTACTAAAATAGCCGTACCAGAGACAGCCTTCTTTAGGGTCTAGTTTCACCAGTGTCAGACCAGAGAACGTCAATCATTGTTTTCCATCTTCATAGATTCATCTATCATTGTAATATTTATCAACCATGGTCTATTACTTGCTAGATGAAGATGTCTCTAATACACAAGGATTTACGCTAGGCACTATATTTGGCAAATAAATAAATTTATGCAAACCGACACACCTGATGACGACCGTTTGTGTTATGGTCGAAACGTCATGAGAATTTTTATTGTTTTATATATTTTTTATTATTTTATTGTTTCCCTTCAACGTGACTTTACCGAAAGAGCTAAGAATATAAATAAAAACAATAGTAGTTCATGAAATCATGTTTTCAACTTACAATTACTGTCATAAAATAATAATTTACCCATTTTTGTATTACTCACGGAATTTGTACAAGAAGCGCATGAACCAAAGGATGGTCAGTTCATAAACCGGTAAATTAAGAATTAATAAATACCTCTACTGGCTGGTATTGGGTCAACTTTGTAGAACTCAAAACTGAAGCCCTATTCTGAAACAGGAAATGAGAAAACATTTTACGTGAATATCGTGTACAGTACAAAACCTAACACAGTTATAACCGAGGCAGATGTCTTAGCAAGCAGCAACAACATCGCATACAGTACAAAAACAGTTATAACCGAGTTTAACACGGAGGCTTTTGCGACCAATATCCATAAGAGGTTTTTTGGGTTAGATCGCGTAAATATATAAATGTGTCGTTAAAACCCTCCACCACCCAACACAGCCAACTAGTAAGGGTTGTCACGTAAACAGAACATGCCAATTCGTCACGAGAACAGCACAGCGGTGTGTTGGAGAGCCAAGCCACAATATTTACAATCTGAGTATGACGTTTCGCTAGCTTCATCAGGCGACAGCCAGATTTGTGGAGAAGTCTAAATGTTTCGTTCCTTATATAGAGGCGTAGATGTGGTGATCACACTTATGCGCTCTTGCGCAAAGTGGGGGGAGAATTATGAGTCAACGTACATCATGCATGTGCATTATGAGAGCCCTTTCATCTTGTCCTTCCTGTCCATTCTGTGTATTAAAATAGCTGTACCAACGGTAATCCCTATTGAAATATGGTGCCCTTTACAGGCATGCATTTAAATAATGTATTATTTGATTATTCTCTTCCACGCAGCACTAAGGAGGTAGCTATCTGAACGGTTACAATTATTTACAATTCTTTCAATTTCGAAAGATTCTCTAATTAAATTAGTATTGGCCAGTAGTAGCTGGTTTTGCACAGAAGTTCAACATTTTCAAAATCAATTGAGTGTCCTTGTTGGCACGCGTATTCTGCTACTGCTGACAATTGTATTTGGGAGTATTTAATATTTCTCTGATGTTCTTTTCGTCTCGTGCTGATCATTCGTCCAGTTTGCCAAACATAACATTTGCCACATGTGTGTTTGCCCAACATAACATTTGCCAGGTATTTGACACATTAGGGCAGCTGACAGTTGTTGTATCTATAGGCCTTTTCCAAAATTGATATTAATAATACTTGCCGGAAATATATTTTTTATGAATAAATAAATAACACCCGCCACAAGAAGGACCAGCAAACAGCAGCTTGAGATTGTAAAAAGGCCATTTAAAATAAATAAATAAATAAGCAGACTCCGGGGCAAAGGGAGGTTAGCGACTATCTGAAAAATCTCCAGATTGCCAAAGGACAATTCACCTATTTGATGTAACACAGCCGCCCGGGGTCACCAAAAGGGAAGGGGGAATTCCAGGCTTCAGGGACCCCCCCCTCCGTCAGCCCGCTAAGTTGTGATGCCACGCGCACAAGCGAGTTTAAACAATTGTCCTCTTCTTTGCTATTAAAACAACGGTTAAAGTTCTGAACTCAACTACAAGGATAAGCTAACATTATCAATCCTCACACTCACTCCAATTAAAAACCAGGCCACAATCTACATCAGTGAATCATTACTCATTTATTATTTCGATACTAAATGACCGAAGCCTCAAGAATAGTTCTGGCAGTCAGAGTTATTTCTAAGTCAAAACGAATTCTCTAACCTCAGGACATCAGGAATAAAATAAAATAAATAACTCATACATAATAGCCCGGACCCTCGGATACAGGCGAGGAGCAAAAGTTAATACAATGTCAAATCACAAATCTTGGGGACAGAAACAGATAATAATGATGCAATGTTACATCAAGGGTTATCGAGAAGGAATGAGGCGGAATGGGACGGGCTTACACAGCCAAGATAGACTGTGTTCCATAGGAAGGAGCCTCCCGGCCGCCTTTGTCTTCCCGCAGCGCGGGAGAGCAGGAATTTAACACCAGAGCGAGGGAAATTTATTATCGCGGGGGCCATCTGTACACACTGCGCTGGACTTAATGATACACACACGGACTACACCCCCCCCCCCCCACAACGCAGAGTGGGCATCTGTTTTTTTTTCTCTCTCGCAAGAGACGCGGAGAGAGGAGAGAGAATTTCACATTTAAGCTCGGCAAGGGACAGCGAGACGGCAGATCGGAAGAGGACATCAAGCCAGCTCCGAGGCATGGCCTCGAGACATTAGCAATGGGTGCTGTGTCCCGCAGAGAAGAGGGGCGAGGTGATGTTAGGTGCTGAGTTCGGCATGGACCGATAGAGTATCGCTGAAAGTTATTCTACATTCATCCTGATGTTTTGAGTCGCCTGCAGAATCGAGGATTGCGATAAGCTGTATCGTACTAAGCTATCAGAGTTGTGTAAGAGGTGTGCAAATACAATTTTCAAGTTTTGAGAGTGAGCGACAATAGCTCTCGACAGTTCAACAAGGCACAGCTCGGCGAGCGCCAGAAGAGGGCGGCGAGCGGCCGGCTCCAAGGGGCCCCGCGATCAACTGAGGATGGCGAGGCTCGCCGAGTAGCGATGTATCAACGAGCGTGAGTTCAGAGCTGAAAGACGAAGTATCGCTCAAAGACTTTTATTTCTACATCGAATGCCAGCTCCCAGCTGCAGCGCAACCAGCCGCCCGTGAGCAAGAGTGCCAGCGAACCAGCGGCGAGCGTGATCGTGCGCATCTCCACGGAGAGAGCGCGTGCGGCGCAGCTCATCATCCAGCGGCGGAAAGAGCCCGACCAGCCGCCCGTGAGCAAAAGAGTCAGCGACCAGCGGATCAGCTCAGCATCGGCCAGCGGAAGAAGACGGCGACCAACCTGAAGACCAGCCAACCAACGACGCAGAAGAAGACTCTACAACTCGCCCAGAATGGCGAGACTCGCTGTTTAGCGACATGCTACGCCGTGCGAATGCAGCACCATCAGAAGAAGTATCGCTCGAAAAGCATTCCGCTCTGAACCTCGACCCTCAAGGGTCACTGCAGTGATAGCTAAGCTGACGAGAATCCCAGCATCAGCCACCAGAGGGTGCTCATCGCCAGAGAGAGCGCCACCAAGCGACGCCAACGGCGAGCACCTTCGCCAACAGCAACAGACGAGCTGCGGGCGCCGTCTGCCGACGGATCATCGCGCCTACAGCGCACCGTGTCAACTCGTCCACCTGCTGCGGGGCCGAACTCTGGCCGACCGCGTGAAAGAAGAAAACCCCGCTGTTCGTATGATATGCACTCTGCCCCACACTGCCACCACACCACCTGGCGTCTTCTTGACGCAAATAATTGATTCCGAACACTGGTCCACTCAACCCAATTCACATCACTCAACACACACACACGAACCATTAAGAAGCCTAATCGTCAAGTACGTGAACCATCAGTGGCCGCGAAGGCGTCGCGGCTCACCGAGTGATGAGAATACGTCGTTTTAAGTACATTAATTTTTTTGTAATTTGTACTTCCAATCGCATAAATTACCAATAGATTCATCAATATAAATTAAGCCTTTGAAACCTTCCACTCTGAACCTCTACGCTCATGGGGAAATGAGAGTGTAAACCGGTTTCCTTATCAGACAATCTTGTCCACAAATTAATTAAAGTTCGGCCCAAGTTAAGGATCTCGTGGGAGAGCACGCACACCATCGCACGCCCTTACTCTAAGCCATTTCTTTAATTATATATTCTTGCCGATGAATCTATTTACGTATATTTGTGCCTTAGAGAATAATAATTGTTTTGACTGCCTTTTCGCATGAATATCGTCGGATGAACTTTTAGGGACTTTTTATTCGTATTTTCCATATACTCGTGGTACTCAGAGGAAATAATCAATTGTTCCGTTACCCAAATAACGTGATTATTGAGGGTTGAAAAGATGGATCAATGAATGAACATCGCCTGTAGTACTGTGCTGACAATTTCAAGTACAAGAATTTGCATATTAGAGTGTTAAGGTTTTTGTTTAGAATAGAGCACATGCATGTTCTAACGACTCTCTCTATCACCAATTAAGCTCACGTTACGTGGTGGAATTAATAATGTGCAGTTGCCAAAGTGAAACAACGCAATCGTTGATGTTTACTGTGTTGATGCTGTGTTGAAAATTCCAAGCTCGATAGTTTGCATGTAAAGTTAA